GCCTCATGAGCTGGGAGATGGGGAGGGGAAGCAGAATGAGGTCAGCACAGTTGAAGAGGAGGTGGTCAGAGACCTGCTGCACCCCTTGGATGCACAAGTCTGTGGGACCAGATGGGTTACACCCAAAGGTGCTGAAAGAGTTGGCAGATGTGCTTGCCAAGCTGCTGTCCATGATTTCCCTGAAGTCATGGCTGACTGGGGAGGTCCCATTGGACTGGAGGGTGGCAAATGTGACACCCATCTACAAGAGAGGCAGAAAGGAGGATCCGGGAAACTATAGACCTGTCAGTCTGACCTCGGTGCCAGGGAAGGTCATGGAGCAGGTCATCTTGAATGCCATGAAAAGTCATATAATGGACAACCAGGGGATCAGGCCCAGTCAGCATGAGTTTATGAAAGGCAGGTCCTGCCCAGCAAACCTGATCTTTTACTACAAGGTGACCTGCTTATTGGATGAGGGAAAGGCTGTGGATGTTGTCTACCTTGACTTTAGTAAGGCCTTTGACACCATTTCCCACAGCATTCTCCTGATAAAACTGGCTGCTTGAGGCTTGGATGGGCACACACTTTGCTGGGGAAAAAACTGTCTGGATGGCCGGGCCCAAAGAGTTGTGGTGAAAGGAGTTAAATCCAGTTGGTGGCTGGTCACGAGTGGTGTCCCCCAGGGCTCAGTTTTGGGGCCACTCCTGTTTAACATCTTTATTGATGATCTAGACAAGGGGATCGAGTGCGCCCTCAGATGACCCCAAGTTGGGTGGGAGTGTTGATCTGCTCGAGGGTAGGGAGGCTCTGCAGAGAGACCTGGACAGGCTGGAGCCATGGGCTGAGGCCAACTGGGGAAGTGTCCATAAGGGCAAATGCCGGGGGCTGCCCTTGGGCCACAACAACCCCCAGCAGTGCTACAGGCTTGGGGAGGAGTGGCTGGAGAGCTGCCAGTCAGAGAGGGACCTGGGGGGTTGATTGACAGCTGGCTGAACAGGAGCCAGCAGTGTGCCCAGGGGGCCAAGAAGGCCAATGGCATCCTGGCTTGTGTCAGCAATAGCGTGGCCAGCAGGGACACGGAAGGGATCTGACCCCTGTACTGGCACTGGGGAGGCCGCACCTCGATTCCTGTGTTCAGTTTTGGGCCCCTCACTACAAAAAGGACATTGAATGACTCGAGCGTGTCCAGAGAAGGGCAACGGAGCTGGTGCAGGGTCTGGAGCACAGGTCGTACGAGGAGCGGCTGAGGGAACTGGGGGTGTTTAGTCTGGAGGAGGCTTAGGGGAGACCTCATCGCCCTCTACAGCTACCTGAAAGGAGGTTGCAGAGAGCTGGGGATGAGTCTCTTTAATGAACTAGTAAGCGACAGGACAAGATGTAATGACCTCAAATTGCACCAGGGAAGGTTTAGACTGGATATTAGGAAGCATTTCTTTATGGAATGGGTTGTTAGGTGTTGGAATGGGCTGCCCAGGGCAGTGGTGGAGTCCCCATCCCTGGGGGTGTTTAAGAGTCAGGTTGACATAGCGCTGAAGGATCTGGTGTAGTTGGGAGTGGTCAGTGTTAGTTTAGTGGTTGACCTGGATGATCTTCAAGGTCTTTTCCAACCTAGACAATTCTGTGAAATGTTTGCATGGTTTTTTTTCAGTTTTTAGAAGGGTAAAAAGAAAGTTGAATTTAGAAGCATTGGTCATATCATTGCTTATGAGCTTGAGTGAGCTAGACCCACCATTCTTTTTGATCTTTCTCTGGTATAGTAGCATGAAGCTGTAACAGCTGTTTTCCTAGTCAGTGGTAGCATTCATTGTTGGGGTCATCCATAACACTTGATGCTCACAAATGAAGACAAGTCATGTATTATGCCATGGGGTTGAAGAAATCCCCTGTGAATCTGTCAGAGACAGGCTTCCTGTGGAATGTTTTGATACTGCCTGTTAGTATAAAGATGCCAGATCTCATGGTTTGTAATCCATTCCTCATTCCTTTGTTTCTAATTTTGTGACAAGTTTCTATTGTACACATTTCTGTCCTTTTTTATAAGTAGCCAAGAATCCTTGCAGTTTGACTGGATGGATAGAAGTAGCGGCTAAAGGAAACTTAAAAACCTTTAGAACAGGCAACAGCCTGGAGAGAGTGCACATCTGAGCTGTGTACGAAATGCTAAGTAGAAAAACAACAGCAGATACACATGTGAACTGAAGTTTTGACAGAGCAGTTAGGTTGTGATGCTGACAAAAAGTAGAGGAGAAAGGGGCTATCTGAAGGGCAGCTCTCACATGGTTAAAAGTGTGCATTTAACCACTGTTAAAAGACCGCATATGTCAGCCTGGACCAATGTGGAAGAAAACTACAATGGGACAAAACACTATTGTGCCATGAGAGTTCATTCATTGGTGATGTTAGCTTAGATGTCCTTATGCTTTGTGGCTCAGTCTGTGTAGTTCTTAGCACAGATAGTGTGATTTTGGAGCTTGTGGGGGCAGGCAGTCTCATTACTCACGCTGCACTGAGATTGGTGAGACCTAAACAGTGTTTGAACAAGAGGATCTGTTCAAAATGCATTGAAAGAGGGATTGATTAATTACTAAGTAGTGTTGAGGTTTGATTTATTATAGTTTTAATTGTTTTATTTAAGAGGGGAAAAATGTTCTTGTGAGTTCTGAGAAGGAATAATAAAAATAAATTGGATTGAGCTTTTATGTAAAGCAGCAACATCCAAAATATGATTATCATCATCAACTTAATAATTATTATTGCTGTGATTTGAATTTTTTTTTTTTTAAAATTGTCTTTTTTCATATTTTCATAGAATCACATGTTTTTATTTCAATGCAGAATTGTGAAAGTAGCTTTGTTATTAAGGTCCGATTACCAAAAGACGCTATTCCTGCATATGCTTTTGTTTTTTATAGAAAAATTCTGTCTGTACAGATTGCTAGGTGAGAGCTCAGTATTGATTTTCAGGTCACCATTGCCACAGAGACTTTGATTCCCTTAGGGTTGTGTAATGGCTGGAAAAAACACTGGTAATGCCATCTCTTCTCACTAGGAATTCAGCAACCCCTAGTCTTTTGCGATAGATGTTTTCATTTTTCCAGAAGGTAGGAAAGACAGAGTAGCATTCCTCAGTCTTCACTATGAAAGGTCTTTCCTCTTCTGTACCTCTAGTTTTAACATGGGTTAGAAGGGCCAAATGCAAATGCAATCTGCCTTCCTTATGCTAGGATTTTCTCTTTCATGTGTTGGGTGATGTCTCTTTCCTGCTGAAGATGATGCTTATGAGAAGGAATTCTTCTAATTAGAGTTTTAAGAGCTGTGTTACAAAGTTTTTTCTAATGGGGGAGTGTGATGCTAGATCCAGAGTGTGACTTCACTGTTGGCACTACTCTTCTTCTACTCTGTTTTCTGTCAAGTTGAGTTTGAATACATTAAAACATTTCTGATATAATAAAACAACCTACTTATGAAGATAGGAAGAGAAAGTATTTTACAGCTAGTAGAACTTGTGTCTTACCTTGCTTTTCTTGGGCTGGTGGAAAGGGGAATAAAGATTATGTGAATGTTTTTATTTTGAGTTGATTTAACTTTGAATTAACTTGTTAACTAAGAAGAGTTTTTTAAAAATTGGAAATGAAGTGTGCATTTTCTATAGCAGCAAGAAAGGTCAATACTAACAAGAGCTGGCTTACTAGTTCAGAAAAAAACTGGTGGGATTTGCTTTTTTTTTAGCTGCTTAACTAGACATTCCTACTTTTTCATTAAATACTGACTTTCTTCACAGCTTTAGTAGCCAGTATAAATTTTTTCCTGGGTTTATATTTTGAACCTTCATGGATATAATTTAAATATAAAATCTTAACTTTTTTTACTAAATATAATTTGCTTTAACTATTCTCTGTATAATTAAAACCCAATTTTCCTTAATCTAAGAATTCCTCTTCGTTAAGTCCTACTGGTTGAACGTAAAGAAGGAAAGTTCAAAAGCAGTGATATTTTTTTTTTTAATTCCATTCACTTTTATGTTCTGGTTGTAATTTAAAATTTACTTGAAAGGTTTTAATAGTTTCCTGCTGTGATCTTGCTTTTCTAAGTGGAAAAACAGATGTGTACATTCAAAAGACAGCCTCGAGAACATAATTGTAACTTATAAATAAGAGAATGTGTGTGTTAACTCATTATCAAAGGGTAAGATGGGGTGTGAACTTGCAGTACATCTACAGTAACTGCCATATACAAATGTTTTCCTGTGATAAAAATAAGGTGTTTTATCCTTTGAAAAAGATCTATAAAGCTCTCTTAGACTTTTCATATTTTCTGCTGGGTGAGAGCAGGCTTTCCAGAGCAGCTGATACTGTAAATTAATTTTCTCCTGTACCCTGAGGTGACTGGATTGTGCACCCATATCTAAAGTTACAATAAACCACTTAAGGGCAAAATTTAAAAGGTGAAGTTAGGTTTATGTTGGATAATAGATAGCATTACGATGAGACCAATCCAATAGAGATACTTGGATTTTGTAGGTACCATCTTCAAGAGTCAGGCTAGGAATGTTATTTTTATTACAAAAAAGGTGATGTTGAAATTAGATTTTCTGTGGCTAGGAGCAAAGATACAGGGGTCTTATAAATCAGACTGTTTAACAGAATGGTTTTATTATGTTTTGGAGCTTGTGTGTAGCAATCTGGCACAGTTTGAGATGGAAGATTCAAGGATAACCCATTTGAGTTTGATGTGTTCCTAAACCTTAAATAGCTGAATAAGGTTTTTTTAACAGTCTGGCAAACACCCCCCCCACACCACCACGCCCCAGCTTTTTACAGGAATAAATAAAAGATTAAAATATTAATAGTTTATAGCACATAAATATATAAATGATTTCCAGTGTAGCTCAAAAATCTAATATTTGCCTTTATCTGTAAGTCTTCAGGAACAGCTTTATGTAATATTTCCACTTGGTTTGAAGAACTGGATTAGTTTGTAAGGGCTAAATTCTCTCTCTTCTTTCTGTCTTGTTCTAGGATGTTTTTGTATTTAGGCATGAACTTGCTCTCCTAAGAATATCTGCCTTCATGGGTCTAATAATATTAGGTGGAATAAGTGGACTCTTTTACACTCAGCTAATGGGTATTTTCACTGTAAGTATCTGATTTTAGAAGTATATAGAAGCTAATATGTTTTATTTTCAATAAAATTAATAAAAGCAGAAAAGCAGATTGCATTTAAGGGAAGAATAGAGAAACACTTGCACTGTGGGGACCTCTTTGATATGTGCTCTGTCAAGCCTCTTGTGTCCAAGGAAGCCTTAAGAAGCCTTCTAACAAACAAGTGTCTAATAATTCACCTGTTAAGGTAATTTCCTGATTAGTATTAGTAAAATAAAACCATACATTGTCCCAGAATTGTGCAGCATACAAGGTATGTATTTGTGGGTTTTAATTTTTGTTTCTATCTTAAACACGTGTTCTAGTCTCAATTATACTTTGTGTGGGTCCCATAAATCTATATTCTGAGAACACAGACTTTTTGTTAAGTATTTTATTGAACATGCTTATATTCCTGTCTCTTCAGTTACCAAACTGTTGGATGGAATTATGTACATTTTATAGTCCAAATGCATATTCTGTATTTAAAGGTACAGAAAAAAATCCTCTACATGGAAAAAAATTTCCAGTTAAATGAATTTGGCAATGTAAGAAATATCTAAAAGAAACAAGCTCTTATTGCTGTAACATCCTGCTCTAATTAGAAGTTAACTACTACCAATGATTTCTTGGAAGTTATCTTTAGAATCCATAGAAGTGTTTGAAGTACTGCAGTGTTGGACAGAGAGAGTACATTAGTTGGATCTGTACATTTCTGAAAGCGTGTACGATCTGGCCTGCAAAACTTCTTTTAAAGACAATAATGTACAAGATTACAGCATTTTTGGGACTACAACTGATTGAGATCTGCCTGAGATTTCATTTGGGGATTATGAAGGTTTACACAGTATTAACCTTTCTAGGTGCGTAACAGAAAACCTCCCAACTGTGTTATGTAATTCCTTTGTATGGAATAAAGGACAAAAATTATAGTCTTCCCTTCTGTTAGATAAAACAGTAATATTGTTTATTGTTTTTTATTGTATTACCTTTACATAAGTTTACTGCCTTCTGCTCTCTGTGTGACTGTAGCTATGCTGTGTATTATTTTTGCCATCCTCCAGCTAGTCTACCAGACTGCTTTCTGCACTTTCTGTTAACCCTCAGGCCTACAGATTACTTTTGTGCCTCTTTACTGTGTGCCTCATTTCTTTTGCAGGGTCTTGCTGACAGGTTCTCACCTCCCTGTTTAAATGCTGGCACACAGCTTTTGTGTCTGCATCCTCTAGAGTTGGGATTTTTTTCTAATCTGATGCTTTGCCTTGCTGGGTATCTAACTGAATTCTGCTAACCCTCACTTCCAGTAGTGGGAGAGACAAACTCAGGAAGCATTAGAGTTCAGATGCTGAAATGTAGATATCTTTTTAGTCTCTGTTAAATGAGTATATGAGAAGGAACAAAAAGCCATATGATCGGTACTACACTAAAACACAGAAATGATAGAGAAGAAACAAGGAACAAATTCCAAGCCTACCATTGTGTTCTGTGTGCTGCCAGAAGCTGAACTAAATTTTGGCAGTGGCCATCAGCATCCATTCAGATACTATAAATATGAAATAAAAACTCTCAGACTTAACCTGATTCTGTCAGATACACGTGAAACTTCGGACATTTCTGTTCTGACACAGGATACCAACTGTGCTGCATCTGCAACAGGCATGAATTCCCAGTGTGTTCTTTCACTGTTCTGAGCCTTAACACTGTCAGGCTGCTACCACCACTTCGAACTCTTCTAAAGTGCTGTAAAGATCTTTTATTCTATGACAGTTTTATAATATACTGTGAAATACATCTCATTACACTTACTGAGCTGGCCACTACCCTAGAACAGATGTGGGCTAATAGCATTTTCAAGGCCAACCTCCTTTTATGTGCTCAGTTCTGTGGATTGCTGAGTTGCAGTATGCCTGGATAGTCTCTTCTGTCCTCTTTGCCAAACTCTGTGAAACAAACACACCACAGTAGTTGTCTGTATGGATGGACTATGAGGCAGATGTGGGAAAGTATAGATCTTTTGCATTAGGGCCTCTCATTTCACCCTACCTGTAGAGGAGGAGCTATTGTGCTTGCATAATATGGACAAGTTTTTAGGTTTGGGATTGTTGGGTTGAGATTGCTGGGGAAGTGGAAATCCATTACTGGGATCCCCAAACTCTATTAATTCACACCACGTGGATGCTATTGCACTGACTCACTGAAGAATATGGGTCATTGAGTCCATACCCTGCTCAAAGCATTTCCATAACAGCAGAATTGTTTTCTTCCTTTTCATTCCTTTCTTCATGAGTATAGAATTAGCAAGAATAAACAATGTAGTAATTTTTTAGTCATCAAATCTGCTTGGGAACAACTTAGACTTCAAACAAACAAAGCCAAATCTGCTTGGTGGGGTTGTGCTTAGTCTGCAAGTTGTATCAGAAAATCTTTCTGTGCAAATGTTTTTTTATTGTCAGCATTGTAGTGTGGGGATTTGCTTCCTCCATAAGCACTTAGTAACAGCTTTGGCAAGCCAATGGGAAAGGCAAAGAAGAGGGCAGCAGGTGAGTGAGTAGTTTCTCTGCAGACTCCCCAAAGACATGCCTATGATGCACAGAATAGAAACAAAGAAACTGGGTATACCCACCCACAGTGCTGAGCGCACAGCGTGGAAGACATTCAAGCCCTGTAGAAGCAATGAACCGTGATTACTAAGAGACAGTGATGTTCGTACTGTGTTGGAGTTACTGTTCAGCATCTAACCTTCCTGTATAAACTAAGCAAATTGTATTTGAAATGAGCTCTATTTAAAATAATGAATTAATGATGAAATTAAGTTTAACTTAGTAGAAGGTAACAGATCAAAATTTATTTAACAGCAGAACACAGTCCTTGAAGTGTAATAGTACAGACTTGAGGTTGATTTAAAAGAAGCTCAAATTGAAGGAAGAGATATGCACAGTTAAAGCATTCATGCTGTATTAATTGCTCCATAGCTATTCTTGGAAGCATTAATGTTCAGTGATTGCTGAAGCTGCCCAGGGATGTGTGCAAGGGAGGTGGACAAGAACATGGGCCTTTTGAAAAAGGTGACACAGAGCAGCTCTTAACTTGTGCTTGTACAGGAAATCAGATAATAAATATTTTCCTAGTTCATGCTCCATGCCTGTGTTTGCAGTTTAACATCAAACCAAGATTAGTTCCACAGCTCCTTGATAGTTATTTTCAAATAATAGAGACAATCAGCATTGGAGCTCTGTGATCTAAACTTTGATTGATACATACTGTTGCAAAAGGAGTCCAGTAAATTCACATTTGTGGGGTTTAACATTATTATTTACCTACATTTCAAATGCTGCCAAAATTGTATTTTTGGAAAGAAAAATAAACTCAAGATTTATAAAACTTTTGACCCTTTTGTAGCAAAGCTTCCTGATTCTCCATAAGGTAGACTTGCTTGACTGTCATTGTATAATTTTCTGGAAACCAAGCCAATAGTTTCTGTTCCATCCAAGTAATATAAAGCTAAGGCTAACTTTTTCCAGGAATATGGACATGCATATAAAAAGAATCCTCAGTTCTCAGTCTTCCAGTATCTTCTGCATACACAGAATGCGCTCTGCTTAGTGTCAGTCTCACAGAAGTGATGTGGGATGATAAAACCACAGAGTTGTTTGTTCTTTAGCATCATCAGTAGTAAGGAGCTAGGACCTGAAATGGCAACTTTGTGCTTCATTGTTTATGGTTGATTTCCACAGTCTAATGGCTCTGCTCAAATGTGAATGATTAGAATGTAGAGTGCATTATGAATCACAATATATACCCTAGATCAGAGCACTCGTGCTGATTCTTTGTACTGCAATAAGATACGTAAAGTTGAATGTATAGTATTGATCTGCATTATGTGACCTTTGTATACAGCATTTTTATAAGCAGAGTTACTTTTTACTAGAATTGAGCTAAGTGATAACTTGACAAGTCATAAGAATGACTACAAGTTTTTCATAGGATTTTTAAGGGGAAATACTGGCATTTTCTCCTCTTTGATAAATTTTTTCAGATGTCAAAAAATGTTGTCCAACTGAACATGTAATGGAAAGGATGTATCTGATACATTCCAGCATGTTTTTCAGGAACAGGGCAGTAGCTAAAACAGGAAAGCAAAGCAGCACATTGTGAAATGCAGGTGAAATAACTCTGCTGCATGTGTTGGCACTCTCCAAAATTTAGTGTTGCTGTGCAGTTGACTGATCTTCTGTGCCTGTCTTTGTGTAACTCATTGGTTACAACAGTAGATCCATTATGTAAAAGTTAAGAAAAAATTGCATGTAATCTGTTGTTAACCTGTTTCATTTGTGTTCAACAGATACTAAGATCCTTGGGAAAAATGTGCTCTCTGGTAAAAATCAAAACCTTGTAGCTTGTGTACTCAAATCTGGCTCTTGCACAGAGAATGTTCTTAAGGCTTGAGAAGGTGATTAATATACCAAATTAGCTAACGTGCAGTAATTTCTCTGAGTACATTTACAACCTCTCTTACATCGTTAGCACAAGGCTATTTGTATGTCATCTGGAGGTCCAGGAAGCCAAAGAACAAAGAGGTGACTTCCTACAATGAGAGGAGAACCGTTGGTTGCAAAAACTTCCTTAGAAGAACTTTTGACATGAATTGTTCCAATGAAGAGGGGAGCAGCTGAGGTGGCCTCTGTACAGGAGATTAATGCTTTCTCCCTAAAAACTAGCATATGTGAAACACTTCTGGTGGAAGGGGCACTTGGCTTTTTTCATACTCCTTCTCCAGTTGTTTTCCCCAAGGTCTGGTTGCCTTTAGTCTCATCACCATCCTGAATTTTAACACTTCTTCCAGCATTTTATTTGGATATTTTAGAAATAGAAGTATCCAAGTTCTCTCTAATTCAGGTCTCAGAAATAGGGAGAAATTTAAGATCCTAATTTAAGAACTCTATGATCCTAAGAAGATACTCTTCTTAAAATCTCAGACATAACAGTTAGTCTTC